AAATATGAAAATAATCAATCGGTTTCATATTCTGTATCTTGTTCTTCATTTTCCGGATCTTCATCGCTGTCATACTCGGACTCCTCGTCATCAACTGAAAATAGTAAATATTTAAATAAACTAAATAAATCATATATACCATTAAGAGTCGCAAATCGAAAATTACCTTCCGAATCCTGATTATCAAAAATGACATCTTTTACTGATGGTGGTAACTGTGGGCCTTCAAACCATAGAAATTCATATTTGCTGTGAGTTAAGATCCATCCTGATGTTTCGGGCTTAAATTCAATTGGATCCCATAATGTTGCCTTATTCCATAAGTGTGCAATATAGTGTGCCCTTCTCATTTGCTGTAGAAGCTCGGTGTAGCAAGGTGGCAAGCAGGAAGCGTCAAAGTTTTTCAAATTTGTTTTTAAAAAGGCTTCATCAGTATTTTTAACTTTATAATTTCGGAGGAACATTCGATATCTGACGTTATTGATTTTTTTTTGTGTCTCATATCCGTACATACTGCAAACGAATGCTTCTATTTTTGCAAAAGTATTGTCTATATCGATCCCTGTATCTCCTAAACTAGCGAACGCTTGTTGAAACTCCTCGTTTTTTGCGAGTATTTGAAATGGGCGCTGTTTACCTTTTCTAAAAAATGCAGGATTGTAATCGCAACCGGTAAATGCATGAAATCCCGGCAATGCTTTGCACAGATCTAATCCTAAATGTTCATGAAATACATTTACATCGGCATATTTATAATATGCCGACTTCTTGAAACGCCACATTCAATATAAATTTTTGCTGTTATTTTATGCAAATTACCTAACATAATAACAACAATATCTGTGTCAGAGCACTTTACGACAACAGTTGAATCTGAATTTATTTTAGACGCATGATAAATAATTTTAGTGTCGGCCTCTTCGTGCGAAGGACAAAGAAAATCTAATTTCTCCGTTTTGACTACATTACCATTAACGACGCTGAATGAATAACAATTAACAAAATTTAATAAAATAGTCTTATTGCCTATAAAAGCGGCTACATCGTTACTTTGCCAATGTGAAATGAGGAAAAGGACAAGAGCTTCTTTAAATCTGTCATTCCTCAGTTCTTTAGCAAAATCATGTGTCCTAGCTTGGTCCGGACCAGAGATAACGTACTCATGATTACTGTCAGAACCTCCCCTTAACGAACGTTCGTAGTCTTTTATAGACGGCGAGCAGTAGCGATCAAATACTACATGCACACATGAAGCATTATAACTTGCAATAAGACTATTTTATTAAATTTTGTTAATTGTTATTCATTCAGCGTCGTTAATGGTAATGTAGTCAAAACGGAGAAATTAGATTTTCTTTGTCCTTCGCACGAAGAGGCCGACACTAAAATTATTTATCATGCGTCTAAAATAAATTCAGATTCAACTGTTGTCGTAAAGTGCTCTGACACAGATATTGTTGTTATTATGTTAGGTAATTTGCATAAAATAACAGCAAAAATTTATATTGAATGTGGCGTTTCAAGAAGTCGGCATATTATAGATGTAAATGTACTTCATGAACATTTAGGATTAGATCTGTGCAAAGCATTGCCGGGATTTCATGCATTTACCGGTTGCGATTACAATCCTGCATTTTTTAGAAAAGGTAAACAGCGCCCATTTCAAATACTCGCAAAAAACGAGGAGTTTCAACAAGCGTTCGCTAGTTTAGGAGATACGGGGATCGATATAGACAA